GACTTTTTTTTTTTTTTTTTTGCATCAAGTGTTAGGTTAGAAGTGCATTTGGTGTGTAGGAGTGGAAGGACTGGAGGTTGTGATTATGTTTTCCATGTGTTGATTTCCAAACTGGGGGAAATGCTACTGTGAGTGTTTAAACAAACAAACAAACAAAAAAATTACACTATAACAAAAGTGATTTTTAATTTTTTTTTCCAATGTCAGTTTTTATCTTGCATGTACTGGAGTATTTATTTCATCTATTAAAATGTTATGTTTCTCAGATGTCTTTCTGTGAATCTCTTAATACTTGAATAATTGAACAACTAGGCCTGTTTGCATTGTATGTCATTTCCCCCAGGGAATGGGTGGTACAAATGTAACTGTAGTTCTAGACAGCAGCATAGAGGCTTCAATTCAGTTCTTTTATTTTCATAAATGCTGTCCCTCCCCCAGTACTACCCCTCCTCCTCAGGATGCCTCTGACAGAGATACTCTGTAGTTGTATTTCTGGGGAGCTGGACAGTGCTGTATGCACTGGGCTTGCTCCGCTGCGGAGTGCTGGCGCTTGCTGCAGCGGGGCATAGGCTGGCTTTGTTTGTCTTTATCAGCATTCTGTGTTATCTTTTGAGAAGTTTTTGTATTTTAACTCTTGCAGATGTTGTGGGCCATCTGTGTTGAATTTGTGAGTTTCCATCTGATTTTTTTTCTTTAAAAACTTTACCCTGCTGGATAGCCCTGCTTGTTCTGTGTGTCTGCTTAGGATTGTGAAGGTTTGCTGGAGTGGGTCTTTTGATTCCTCAGAGAGGTTTGTGTTGGAGCTCCTCAGTACAGATTTCTGTCAAAGTAGTTTGAGTTTGATGTTGTAGATAACGGGAAAGGTTCGCTAACTTTTGAGGCCCAGTCCACCTCCAGCTGAATTCCTTGGGACTTGTGAGTGGACCTTAGGGTATACTGCGGTAGTTCCCATAATGGCAGTGATGATTTTTTTCAGCCTGGTCTTTGTGGACCTGAGGGATCTGTTGCCTTCTATATGTTCCATGAAAAGTAAATAGAAGAGCAAGTCTTTTGGCAAGGAAGATTTGTTTGTCTGCCCAGCTCCATTGCACAATTGGATTTTTTTTTTATAGGTCTGCAAACTCAACAATGATGAAAGCTATTGGAGAATGTACCTTGAAAATGTTGTTACCGTGGCTTAAACCTTTACAAGTACTGTCCTATTTATTCCTTTGAAGAAGTAAACCTTTTGGTTTTGGATTTAGAACGGTCCTGGAGTAGTGAAGGGTCTTGCTTTTACAGCATCATTGTTTCTCTTGCATGTGATGCTTGTACTTAATTTCAGAGGGCAGTGAAACATCACTGGGTAGCGGACAAGTACATCCTGTTGAAGGAGGTAGAAGCTAAGCTTATATATCCGTATCTTCAAGGTTAGGAAAAAATAATTCCTTGACTTAAGTACAGTGCACCCCAGTATTAGGTTTTAGTTTAAAATTAAACTTTTCTGACTTCAGTGAGTTGTATGATCAGGACTTTTCTTTGCGAAAATTCAGTTCAAGCAACATTCCTCTGGGGTGTAATTTTCTCACTACATTATCTCTGATGCAGTACAAGCCTAGCAGTATATGCTGCAGAGGCCTGGATGTCTGCATCTCTACAGTATAGTATAAAGGTTCTCTCGCTATTTTTTTCCATAAATAAGTAAATACATACACCCTCTGTTCTAACTTTGGCTTAGATGCCTCCACAGGTTTTTCCTCAGAAGCTCTCTCACGTGCATGCACGCACGTTTTCCCATCTGGATGGCAGGAACAGCTGTAGGACTCTGGAGGGATTCATAGGAGGCCAAGGCCATCCACAGGGAGGTCCTGTGCCTCCGTAGTGTTTGCGGTTGTCTGCTCAGCTATGCTTTGTGTCTCCGTGGGAGCTGAGATACTGTCCCAATCTGCCCTTCCTTCTTTTCCGCAGTTGCACTGAGGGGAAGGAGGAAGAAGGGTTTGGAGCAAACGTAATGCTTTCAGGATGTGCTATCTTCTGCGGCTGCAGACAGGAGGTGAGGAACTGGCTCCACCCTTCCTTTGCATAGATCCTGGATGGTGCAGAACTTCGTGCGGGACGTGCGGAGATGGTGCTGAGGAGGCTGCAGGGCAGTGCTGCTCGGGGAGGGGACAGGTGCTCGGCGGCATCCTTTAGCTCCAGTTCTTTTAAGTTACCGTGACCTACATTTGAGGCCTGCTTCCAGATATAAACCAGTGGATTCTAAAGGGCAGCTCTGCAGCATGTCTGACAGGAAAAAAAAAAGTAACGTCCCACTGGCTCTTTTGATGTTTCTACTTAATAATTTTTGGCGCTGCTGAACTAATTAGGTTCTCTTTGATTCATTTATATATTATTGAGGTTATATGGATCACAGTGCAGCCTCCTTATTACCTCTACATATGAAAGGCAATATGTTATTAGTGATGATAGTGCTGATTTTTGTTGTGGTAAGATTTTGGTTTAAGTGGCTTAGTGCAATTTTTGTTTTAACAAGGGTACAGGAGATTCTTCCTCCCTTGCTGATTATATTTTGAAGTACACGCATACATACATAAATAAGCATGTATCTTCTTTTTCCTTTTTTAACACTGAAGGAAAACAAACTGCTCGAGATCTCCCTTTGCTTTTGAGGTGTGGGGTTTTTGAGGGATTCAGTTTTAATAAAACACAAAATGTGGCCAGGCTGATTTTAAAAAAAAAAAAAGTATATATACACACAAATAGTAAATTCACCAAAGTAACTTCCTGTAACATTTTAAAATAACAGTAATTTTAACACTTAACAAAAGTTCAATCATTTCTTTCCAGAGTAGAACTCACACAAAGGGAGCCATGTGCTCCCTGGCCTCAGCTCAAGAGAGTATCTGTCAAAATCTGTGCTATTTGTATAATTACCATGGCAAAGATCAAAAAAAGGGCTTCTGATGCAAACAGGTACAACTGTTTTTATGCACTCTGAGTAAATGATTAACTTAGAAGTCTATATATACATATAAGAGTGTGGGTCCACGACTAAGCGTGAACATACATATATTTTAAATGCTGTAGTGCCACATTTATAAAGACTTAATATGTATTGTGATAATTTATTTGGAATGTATTCGTATGGAATGTTAATTCTGATAGAAGATGTTGTTTCAGTAGATATATTCATGCTGTTCATTTTCTTTGTGCTCTGGGACAGAAAAAAAATACATAATGGGCTAGTTTTCAGGGTGCAGTTGCAGGCCACGTTGAGGTCACTGATTATCACATGGTGTACTTCAGGCCGTTGTTGCCCAAATGTTTACACCATTTAGGTCAACAGGTAGTGTCACTCTTTCGACATAGGCTTAGACAAGCATGACACGTGTTTTCTGATCTGGAACCTTGGTGATTTTTGTCAAAAGAAAACATTTCAGGGTGTTTATATCACATATGTCTTAGATCTGCTCTAATAGCACATTTAATAAAAGGGTTAACTTATTTCTAAACACATTATGCAATGCACATTTGTAGCCAAAAATAACACTATCCCCACCAAAGAGAATTAAACTTATTTTTTAAATGTAAGAATTTCTTACCAGGGAAGAAGTTGTCGCTTTTGTATTGCCTGTGAATTTGAGAATATCTTTTGATTGCTGCTTCATCATAGCAAAGTTCATTATTGGTTTAATACAGCAGCTGAATCTCCAGATTTGAGATCGGAGCAATGTGTTTTCCGATTCTAAAAAAAGTAAGTTCTGTAAGACAACCAGTAAACTGGGAGCAAAATGCTATTGAAAAGCAAGTACACTATTTAAGGGAACTTGCAAATGTAAACCCATGTTATTTTTCAAAACTAAGAAAAAAAAGACCATGGGTCAGACAATTCCCTTCACTTTTTACCACAGGAAATGATCAAAGTAGCAGAAAATCTGCTCTTTTTGGCCAAACTTCTGTCAGAGACAGAAGGGGTCGAGCCAACACATGGTGTATGCAGCCTTGCAGCAAGAGGGGATGTGGCTGATGGGAAAGGAGGCGGAACCAGAGGAAAATCTGTAGGGTAACAGCTCCTATTAAACCCACAAGAATTTTCCTATTCTAGATAAAAGGGAGGCTGATCAAATAAAACAAATCTCAGACAACACAACCTTGCTTTCCAGGCTGTTAGATGCTTGTGAATGAAGATGTGGGGCTGGGAGGGTTTGGGATGCTCGGCGTCGAGCAGCTGTGTTGCTGTAGGGAACCAAGGGCCTCTAGGGTTGCCCTAAGATACATAAGAAGCACAGGCAAAAATGTGTACCTGTCAGAACAGTTTGGTGGGAAATGAAGGGGTTGGGTTTTGGTGTGTTTTGGTTTGTTTTTTCTTCTTTCTTCTCTATCGAGCTCTTTCTAGACTTTACAAGCAGAAGCAGATGGTAGGGACCAGTACACTTTACTCCTTTGTTCTTGCTGCCTGTGAAAGGTGCCAGATGGGCAAAGATAAAGATAGAAATTATCTTCCTGTAGCCCAGGGATAGTGAAAATGCAGAGCTTCAAGGCTGCCCTGTCCTCACAGGATCACTATAACATTTTTTTTTTGGGGGCCCACTGGTTTCACTCTTTGGCTTTTTGCCAAGGAACTGACAGAAAATCCTAGTGGCAATTTGACAGGGGCATCAAGACCATTAAAATATTTCACGTAGGACACCAAACATCACCAGGTTTGGATCACTCACAAACAGGCCAAAAAATATACAGGCTAGGTATGAAGTGCAAGGCCAGAGCCTTCATATGAATAACTTGGAAAATTAAAAACTCTGTACTCTGAGAGATGTTTATTTACTTGGGAATTATGAATTATCGAAATTTTAATGAGTAGTTCAAAGGTATATTTAATTAACATCACTGGCAGCATTCTGAGCCATTTTCTTAATGACGATGGATATCTATGGACATGAAGGGCCTCATCCATGACTCAGTGAAGTCTGTGTAAATATTAATGTTTTCCACAAACTATATTAAAATGTTAGAGGTCTTTTTCTGTTGCAAACTGAGGAGTTATATGCCGATTTTTCATTAATCTGAAACTCTTCCTAGAACTGGTTTTATTGTACTAGAGTCCTTTGAACCTAAGGGAGTTTTTGTTTTGATTTTTTTTAAAACCACAGAGTGTATGATGCTATATTCCAACAAAGTCAAAAGCAGCATTTCCAGATTAATACAGAGATTCCTGGGGTCTTTTGTCAGCTTGCCAGACTCTTGTTCCTGTTCTAACTTAATTTTTATAATTTCCTTTTATGTTAATAAAGGCTTCTTGTGGCTATAAAAGTTGAAGTTGTCTTACTCCATAGACAGCCTGGTTCTTATGTATATACTATTTAGATTATTTGGAAATCCTGCTGGTTGCCAGATGGAGCTCTTTTGGGTTTTATGTTAAATACTTGGAAAGCCAAATAGTTTGATTTTTTTTCTCTTCTCCCCCCACTTCCTCTCCCAACAAAATAAATACTTGAGAAGTGATTACTAACAAGTTGCTTAATTTCAGTTTTAAAATCAAATTAGTTTGAGGTGAAGGGACTGCAAGTAATGAGATACCTCAGAGTAGTTGGGTTTTGACGGGGTTTGACTTACCTACTAAGGTTTTAAACCAACAGGCTTTTTCCAGGTTTGTTTGAGCAGCAGGAACCTGAACTTTAGTTTAAGGATAAAGAATCCTGAAAAGCATAGAACATGACCCTGAATCCTGCAGTAGCGTGTTTCTTACAGGATCTGGGCTTCAGATGGAAACCCCAAGGCGGTCTTAGACTGCAGTGGCTGTTAGGATTGCTGGAAATAACTTGAAGGGTGTGGTTCAGTGGTATGCTAGGCTGCTGCGAGCCGCTTGTATCCCTGAATTAGTTTAACCAGCCTTTGGATGACCGAGTCTGTGCGGTAGCTCCTGCGTCTCTTGCCTCCCTGCTCTGAACATTTAGCTGAGCCAGCGAGAAGGAGAGATTTGACATCAGGTTGTCTATCACCACCGTGGAGCCTTGAGGTTGTTTACAAATTGTACCATTGGCAGTGGGAGCCCATACGGATGCCAGGGTGGACTCATAATAGGGTGGTTTCAAACTGCTTTTATTCCCCTGACCTTTGTGGTGCTTCACTCTTCAGCCCATTCAGTTGAGTTCATCAGCGCGCAAAGCATCATCAGCAGAACCAGGCTAGGTCTGGTTGGCCTTTGTCTGGATTTTAGCAATTGCGAGGCATCTTTTGCTTGAAATTCAGGCAAACTGCTGAATCTAGGAATGTTTCTCAAAAGAGCTGTGCCTATTGGGCACTGTGGCATTGATGAGAGAGACCTTCTGTTTCATACTCTATGCAAGGTGTTGCTGCAGTTCATGCAGAAGGTGCTTGAGAAACACTGGAAGTCAGTGTCCCACTAATCATAATGGTTATCAATTGCCAGATGGTCAAGACAATAATTGTGGCTTCCAGGGTTATATTTTTAAAGTACAGAGTTAAAAAAATGCCATTTCCTAGTCAATTTTTTCAGTATGTGATGATTCTGTCTGGTTCACTTTAAATATAGAAAGTCTCTTGAATTGCTAGGCGTGCTGTTCAGGTGTACTTTGGCCTCTGTATTCTGAACATGCACACTATGGAAAAAAGTGAGAAAAGTCAGGTAGATCTATATGCGCAGTGTGACAAATTATAGGCCCTATAGCAGCTTCTGAATTGGTGTGCAGTTAATGCTCTGGTCTTATTTAAATGCTTCAAATTTAGTCGATGTTTAAAAATTTACTTTGTGTTTAAAAATTTAGTATGAAATCAATCTGTTCTAACAGTGTTAGATTCATAGTTCAAAAACTTTATTCCCTTTTATCATCTTAAAGTAGCCATTAGTCTGAAACTTTTCAATCTCTGGGTCTGGCTTAAAAAACAAAAAGGAAATTGAGTCCTATATTTCAGTTTTAAGATTTTTTTGAAAGCTTGAAAGGTAATGGGTCAACCTATTTTTCAATTACAGAGCACGGAAAAATAATGGGTGTATTCTTTTTCATGTTGAAGTGAGCTATTGTTTCCCTGCTCATAATTAAAAACTCACTTTTCTAAAAAGTCAGATTGGTCCTTGGCATGGCGAGAAAAATCTGTGAGCAAAGCTTTCTGCATGAAATTTCCTTAATACTGTCTTTAGGCGTGACCTCATTCCGAATCTGTAATCTTGTCTTTGTGACTGTCATGTTAGAGGAGTTTTTCCCAACAGCCTATAAATGGAGCTGGTAGCATCTGAACAGGCTGAAGAGCAGTTGTTGAAGTGAGTGGTACAAGCTCCAGAGACACGAGTACTACTATCTTTGAAGCTTCAGAGATATGCACTGCTGGCTAGGGCACTGCAGGTTGTAATATGAAGAGTTACTGTGAAATATAGGACTGAAAAAAGCTATGAGCAAGAGAGGTTTATTTCAAAGTGAGGGTGGAATTTATAGTTTCTAAGGAAAAAAAAAAAAAAAAAAAAAAACACCCAAGAAAATATTTGGTCAGAACTGCAAGTGTATTTAGGGGCTTATGTCCCATTGATTTTCAGTGGGAGCTATATGTCTAGATATCTTGTGGACCTGGTCGTTTGTGATGAACTTTGAATGCTTGTGGTTTTAAAATTAATTATGGGATGTTGTAGGTAAAAGTCTACCACTCTATAAAGCTAGGAAATTTGCAGTTAGAAGTATGGACATGGGCCATAATTCTGTTCTTGTCATCCTGACCTTTCCATATGGGTTAAAAGCTCTTGTTATCCTTGCATGTGCCCTGGCTGGAAAGCAGCCAGAGGCCCAACTCTACCTCATTTGTCTCTTCTGGTTGCCAGATGCCAGCATCACGCATCTTACCTTCACATCAGAATCACAGATTTCACCTCCCTGCCTCTGCCCTCTGCTCCTGGTGCAACACCCAGATGTGGAACAGAGATCTCTTTGTACTCTGTGCATGTTATCCTCATACAGGTCATATACATAAAGCTGGTTCATGCTAACTGAGGTCCAGCTCGCATTAGAAACGCACCTGTTCTCTCTATGTGCAAATTCCAACTGCCTCAGTACCACATCCATCCTTTCAAAACAGGTCTGGAAGTGTTGCCTGTAATACATATTACCTGCAACTGTGTTTCACTCACAGTTTGTCAGAGCTATATTGCTACTCAGAAGAAAGGGTGATCAGACTTTAGGTATTTATGAGGTGGTTTTCAGCTGAGAGGGTGGTGGATGAGCTGGATACCATGAGATGTAGGTTAGTGGGTAGCTTAAAGCTGTAGTAGCTCTAGGTACCGGTTTCCCAACAGAGCAGCATTTGGGCTTTGTGTGGCACTGTCTGTCTCTCATTAACCATACTGTTCTGCTAGGAGCATTGTGTATTGAGTTAATCTGCAACTCTGAGTTCAGTAACAAAGAGATAGCGTCTGCTCTGTAAAATCTACTTACTGGTGAATCTCCTATAATTCTTCTATATTGGACCTTGAAGCTTCTTTTAAAATCTCTTGTTTTGCCACAGATTTTATCTTTATCAAAATTACCTTAATTTTCTCTCCAACTGGAAAAAAACCTGAAACAAACCACAACCCTACTCGGTGTATTTATCCAATTCCATGCCTATCTGTCTTTTAGGGACAGTTTTGAGATATTCAGATGAAAATCACTTTATTTGAAAAATAATTTTACTCCTAAGCTTCAGAGTCCTATAGTCTGAAACTTGTGAGCATTTTGGTGTGCAGGTGATTAAAACCACATCTGTTCATTGGGGTAGAAGAGAGGAAAAGGCAAAGATAATAAAAGGTCGGATGCTCTTTGGTTCACTTACATGATTGTATGGTAGTACACAAAAATGCCTGGCTGGATCAGTATTGCTGTTTTGGACAGACCCAGCATTTTGCAGTCACTTGTCTTGGGGGTGGCAAAAAAAAAAAAAAAAAAAGCAGCTTGATGAAGGATACTGTTAGTACATTATAATGTTCTGTATTAAGTTTGGTTTTGTTTAAGACAAGAAAGCTCAAATCAGAATTATGTGCCAATTCTTTATAAGATCCCAGTCATTTGGCAAAGGAACTGCATTAATTACATCTTGTTTTCTGTACTGTATCATTACAGAAGAGAGAGCACACGTTGCATTTGTAAGGGGATGAAATAATTCACTCACATTTTTGAAGTCTTTGCTGTATTTTTCCCTTTTTCTCTGGAAATAACGGTGGGCTGTAGAAGACTTTCCCTGGATGATAAATGTGCTTTGCAAACTAGTACAATGGTGCTCAGGAGCCTGAGTAAAATAGATCTCTAAAAACTAGTAAATCTACCTGATGGAAACATGATATAAAAAAGGTCAAAGTACTTTTCCAAAGCTTTTCCCCAAAGTATTGTTTTAGCCATAGTTTCACCTGGTTTTGTTGTTACATTCATTTAATATTACTGTTGGACATTTCCTCCCCTATGAGATGCTTTTTATAAGATAGACTGATGTCACGTGTGGAAGATGCAATTGCTGACTGGTTTTGGATTTTTTTTTAAAGTCTGTGATCTCTGAGTGTTCCATGTCCTTCCTTGTAAGCCTGGTTTTACTGAAGTTGTCTGAACTTCACAAGAGTCACTAATGTCCGGGGAAAATCACTCCTGTCAATAGAATAAAGCATATAGAATGTTCAGAGTACATCTATAGGAAAATTCTGTAAGCTGAACAATTCTTAATTACTTGGTTTGAACTAGCCCCTCTTCCTCAAGAATATTAACTTAAAAAATGAGAGTATTTAAAGAAATTCAGCTGCCAAGAATTATAACCTGTGGCGCATGAAAGCCTTTCTTCATGTTTTGCTTGTGTTCATAGTCTGTCTATCTAAAAATAGCAGTTTAAATGTATTTTTATGCCAAAAATTTAGCATGTTTGGTTTTTATCAGTGGTGAGAAAACAAAGTGAAAACCTTTGGTTTGGTTTTCAGATGTGGACTGCAAAACAATCAATATCCCTTTTGCTCATTAGGCGCTGTGTAACTAAGTTATTCCACTGCTAATTGAATTTTTAATATACCTTTTTACTGTTGATTTGCATTGACATCCTACAGTTTTATTTTAGAAAAGTCCTCAGCTTGTTTATGTGCTTTAGTCATATTGACTGTGTATAAATTCTTCCTTGGAAATCACGTATACATGTATACACCTTTGCATAAATCAGATTGCATTTGTAGTAGTGTGTTTGAGGACTCTTGCAAGCCTGAAACATATTATTTTCAAACTGTTTATCACCACTCCAGGGAGTACAGAATTATCTCTCCCAGACCAGATTAATTTGGGAATTAAAGCCCTTTAGAATATGCTTAGCAAAAATGATCCTAGTTAGATCTAGTTTGCAGGGTGAGCCCTACCTGCAGATATGAAACTGGGACGTACAGGTTTAGCATGTTGTGAGGGAGGTGGTTGTAATGCTAGTTAAGAACTGCATTACCTGAGATAGGGGTATCTGGGATTTTTCAGTGTAATGCAGATTTTTATTAGCGGCCTTTTAAATTTGTTCTTGTGAGTAAAAGCCCCAGAAGCTTTTTATGGTGATCTCACCTCCCTTTAGTTCCTTTCAGATACTTGCATTGCTCTAAATACACAGCAACTACCCTGTGCAAATATGACCCATTGATGTTGGCAGCAAATAAGCTCCTGTTTTCATTGGGGATAGAGTTTATATCATGATTCTTTTCACTGGATGAATTCTTTGTCTCTAGCATCCTGCCTGTACTATTAGTCTTGATGGATGAAATCTGAAAACAGTGAACTTTGCCTTGATCTCAGTAAATGGTGTAGCCATAGGGATTCTTTCAGATAGATAAGGATCAGGTGTGGTAGATGCAGGTATTAGGTATACAGGTATGAAAACACAAGCACAAAGGGGACTTATTCCTAAGACTTGACCTTTCTTCCCCACACGCTTCTCTACCAAATAGTTTTCTTATAGGTTTCTTGCCTTCAAAGACTAATAAGTACTGTTGTTGGGAAGTGCTGGGAAGACAGACTCTGCTGGAAAGGCAGTTAACCATTAAACAGGGGCCCTGGGTAGACAGCAGATCTACCAAATTACTACTAAATAATTATGAAATATTAAGTACTTATTTAGCTCTAAAAATCAGCATCAGAGTTAGCAGTTAGCTGAGAACTTATGCTTAAAGGCAGGAACCTACATGGAAATACATTTGATAATAAGGTAAATGCCTGTCGTCATCATTTTGGGTCTCTGCATGTTAGGACTAGGGCAGAAGGTAGAGACTTGTTTGGTTAGAAAGTATAGATCAGTTCTCAGGAAAGAAAAAGGCCCTTCCAGAGCTAGCTTGGATTAAGCTGATACATAGGGAGATGGAGCGCTCTGATAATTAAGGGATTTGTAGAGCACTGTGAGTCACAGTACCTGTTAAGGGCACTTGGGCCAAGTCCACTTAGAGCAAACCTTTCTTCTTCATCAGAATGAAAGCTTTATTGTCTACCCCTAGGCCGTAACATATCTGCACCTTTCCATATGTAGAAGGCTGTGCCTTTTCTAAAAACAGAGATAAAAAATAACGCACCTCTTTCCCATGAAGTATGTCGCGCCAGCCGACACTTTCTTGTTGCTGTCTTGGTCTTGAGCATGGCACTACATAATAATGTCTAGTGATGCTTTACTTTTGTCTTGCTTTTTGCATTGTCACCCACATACTCCTTAGTGTACGTCATCAGACTAGGAGCCATTCCTCACCTCTGTTTCTATTTCTTCTCTAATGCTTCCAAAAATCTCATGTACTGACTTACAAAAACAGCTGGAACTGCAACATCACTCCATTTTAAGCTCTGAATTGTGTTAGCCATTACATTGGTTCCACATGCTGCTTGGGTGGAGACATCAGTTAAAATTCCCAACACAGCTGGTCAGGCCAGGAATTGCAGCTCTGTGTAAGTGGTGGTGACTTTCTAATTCTTGATTACATTACGCTAGAAAAGAGGATTGTTCCCAGAGCAATTTACCAAGAGGGGGAAAATGGAAATACTGCTCAAGGATGACCTTCCACCCCAGTGATCTATTTGGCTGGCGTCTGTTATTGCTCAGCTTCTCTGTCATGGGTTATGCAGTAGTCTAGTGCTTTGTCATCGCTGCTAAGTGGAAAACTCCTGAGCTCACTAAACAGTTTGTGAGGGGTTTGGGTAATGGCAGATGGATTTATGAATGCAACTGCAGAATGAAATATTCATCAAGGTTACCCGAAATAAAGATGGGTCCTATTTGAGCAGGCTTTAAATGCATTGATTTTAAAAAAAAATTTCCATCTAAAGTGCTATTCCTGAGCCCAAGATCCTGAGATAGATAAAGAGAGAAGGGAATTACTTTGCACCACTCCAGCATGGGAGTAGGAGAAGTGTTGTTGCAATTGTCTCCAAGAGAGAGGCAGTGCCGTAATCCTGTTTCATTTTCGTACGCAGAACTTGAAAAGATTTTTCCTAGAAATGTGTAATGGGACTGTCAGAAAACAGACCACTCCCCTTCCCAGTAGTTTCCTGCTGAAGTCATTTAAGGCCTCTCACAGCTTTCATCTGTGGAGGCACTGAGAAGTTATGGGCCAAGATTTTTTTTTTTTTTTTTTTTTTTAATAGAATACAAGCACAAATGAAGCACTTTAAAAGAAGTCATTATAAAAAGAAAGTTGGAAGTTTCTCTGCATGTGAAGCTGGCTCGCCACTTAATCACTTTCTCATTTCCGTTCTGTTTCCGTCAATCCCAGTGAAGTGGATCTAGGTGTTTTTCTTGTTTTAGGTATTGCTAAAAGCATGTATGTGAGCTGCCCAAAGGGGCGGAGAGAGAAGTCGTTTCTTACTTCACTTCTGGGACTGTCTGTTCAGGGCTTTACACAGGAGGTGACTTGGAAAGGCTTGTGAATTCCATTTACTGTGCACTCAGACCTGATGATCGTAGTAGGCTGAACATACAAAACCTGCTCTGCAGGCAACAGCTCTAGTGCAGTAGCTATTTTAAAAAAAAAAAATTCCTTTTGTGGAGCTGGCAGATAGCCTGCATTCACAAAGATGGGAATTTCTGTGGCTCTATATGCTATGTTTAACACAAATGATCAAGGCAATGTGCTTTTAAAAGAAGCCGTTACTACCCTGAATAAATGGATGCTACTCAGCATGCATTTTCTGGTTGGACTGAATTCAAGCCTCCCATTCTGAAATGGATGGCTTTTTTGGATTGCATTCACTTGTCTCTCAGACAAATCTGTAGTGTGGATTTGTTCCTTAGATGAATGATACACATTTCATCCGGTTTCTTTCAAGTTGAACTCTGCCTGGCACAGAAATGATAAATGTTATTTTCTTTCTTCTGTCCAGAAGACCATGTTGTACTGTGAAAGATGAACTTCATTCCCAAGACAGATAAACTACATTCAGAGGTGGATTTACTGATACATGTTTGTAACGCTATAACAGTGCCATAGGCACCTCATCAGGCAGACATATATTGTGGTAGCATTGAGCCTTAGTCACATTCCACGTATCATAAAGCTTTAATTGGAAGTTACATGCCCTTAAAGCCTAGAGAAGGGTCTAGGGAGTGAATTTTCCTATTTTCTCGTACTATTAGTCTTTGGGGGTGGAGATGTATATACAAGTATTTCAGCCTTGGAGCATGAAGAACTGTATGAAGTCAGCTGGCCATTATAAATTACATAAGCATTTGAGAAAAGAAAATGCTGGTATTGAAGTAGGCTGCCAGCATGCTATGAATGCAACGCACTGTACTGATACGACATTTGAAGTGTCTATTTGCATTTGCGATGAAATTGTGCATACCTGATGTGTAATTTTCTGAAGTTTCCTTGATCCAGTGGACAGGCAAGCTTGGTGAGACGAGTACAGCCTAAAGAACAACTTCATGACTACTTTGAATTAAACTCATAATCAGGTCCCAGGAGCAAATTTGGGACTGATGAGCTAACTGGCCTACTCAGAGAAAACTTGATTTTGCTTCAAGCATCTGTCCCTTATTTTGCAGCACTAACAGGCTCTGAGCATTACCTGTCTCTGTTACCTCCCTGTATCCCATCTGCCCTTGTGATGAGACCATATGTTTGAGGCTAGACAGACAAGATGTCCTTTGGCCTTTCTGATAAGGGCTGACATGGCGTGATGTGAGGACACAGGGCACTTTTAGATAGTCTGGATTCAGGTTATCTGCAAGGGCCACCGGGAAGGGAGAAGTTGGGTTGTGTCTCAAAACCTGTTTGTAGAAGTGTCCATCTTGGGTACCATTTAAGCAGCCCTCCAGGGCTATAGCGATGGTCCCGTTTGTGCTGAAAACTTACCCAGCCTTTCCTAAGGCTTTAGATCCTTACCTACTTGCTAAGGTATTTTTGTTTGTCTATCTGGTTACTGGCAATCTTATTGCTTAACTACAGTGTTAAAAGTTCTTGTTGTACAGAAAACAAGATTTGAACTGAATCCAAAGACTGTGGAGTCGGTGCAGCTGTGTGATGGGGAGGACCTGATAGATTCTTTCAAAGATTTGAAATTAAGCATATATTCAAGAAAATGACATCTGAAATGCTTTTTATTTCTGGTGGTAACTGATTATTTTCACCAAGTACAGCTTGGATTGTTATTATAACTTCTTGTAGCAAGAGTCTAAGATTAGCTGACCCTACTTTTGTGAATTAGCAATGGTAATTAGAGATGCCTAGTCCATTTTATTGTGATCCATATATACTCTAGTATATGTTGATAATGGGAAGCATGTAATTCAGAAGCTATTCTGCCAAAATCTGCCTGATGTTTGGCCCCTTGTGTAACAGATGGCACCAGTCTCCACAAGTCACCGATGGTGACCTAATGACCAGTCACCACTAGTCACCACCTAGTCTTAGTGCAGCAGCGTTTTTATACAGAACCCCTTTCTGTGTGTGAGAGCCCTTCTAAGGTCCAGCAGTGCACAGCTGGCTGAGTATCTGAGACATGCAATGTACAGAGGTGGTAAAAACCTCTACAAGCAGTAGAAGTCTTACTTTCTAACAACAAAACGGTTAGAGTTGCTGGCAGAAAGTGATAAGAGTGTCAGTGGCTGTTTAGATTAGGGAAGGATTGGGTGTGTTCAGCGAGGGGGATAGTGTTTGTTTAAGTTTTCTCTCCTGGGACTAGTTTAGTATTTCAAGCACGTTTGGGAACTTTTTTTTTTTTCCCCCCAGTGGGCTAAGATGTGAGCTGGACAGTGTGTATGGGTCTGAGAGAATAAGACTTAACAATGCTTAACAGTTGCATATCCTATAATGCTGGTTTTGTTTCTGGGTGCCTGTATAGACTCTCTCACTATTTGTTTGCGGACTTTTCTCTCAGCTTAAAATACACAAGATGATGCCCGTTTCAGCCTGTTGGGGCTGACAAAATACTAAAGATAGACAAAACTATAGAGTCAAATGCAGCTGAAACTAGTCCTGTACGGGTTGTCCCTATGTGTGCTATATCAGAAGGAACAGCTGGGATCTGCTACTGACAACACTACTAAACCCATGGTTTTTTTCCGTCTGACTCTATGCTTAGTGTGCATGCCCTGTCCAGCAAAATGGAGAGCTGATACTCGTCTCTTTTTTATTCACTGTCTGTGGGAAGGTTATTTAGAGCAGCGTTGTCTGAGTCACTTTGTCACAAGCTAGTTCAAAAGGCATATGCTGTATGTGAAAGTGTTCCAGGAAGATGAGGAGCAGCCACAAAGGGATATACTCATACAAATCGCTATGCAGATATCTTGAAACATAAAAACACATAGCTCTGAAAGAAAAGGCCAGGACCCCAAAAGTAATTGGCCAGGGTAATGGAAATTGTTAAAAGAATGAATGGGAGCAGCCACAACCATTGCCAAAATCATTACGGTCATCAAGCTGAAAAATGAGCCTGGCAGCAGCAGTACATCCAGATGGCCAAACAACAAGACGTATTGGTAATCCATCCATTTGCCTGATTGGAATCTCATCCTCCCACCAGCTCAGGGACAGACTCCAGAATAGTCCCAAAGGGGCTCCCAGGATCACAGGCACTGAGCTCTTCTCGGCCTCCGAGAAGGACTCAGCCTCCTCAGACAACCCTTGATGAAGCCACAGGTTCAGCAGAGCCCTATGTGCAAACACCGCATGCTGATGTTAACAGAAGTTATTTCTGAACGCTGCAGATCCTGTATTCCATGTGGCTGGGCTTAAATGCTGTGTATGCTGCCAGTGTGGCTAAATGCGTGTCAGCAATTAAGGACCCCGGGAGGTCTCTCTGAAAAGTGATGTACTTGTGTTGCTCGCCTGGCGACATAACTTTTCCCAGCAGAATATGATTGCTGTAATATGGAAGGGAGCTTTGCTCTACACATGCTAAGTACCCTTATCTCTCAAGTGGACTAACTAACGTAATTAGATTAAACTAAGAGGAATTGGGCCTACCCTTGTCTCTACCTTGGATTCTGACACTCCTTTTCAGATTCAGAGAAAGGACTTTGAGCCTGAAAGCCTACCTGTTCTTCCCAATTCTGTCAATTGGCCTAATAAAAATTTTATTTTTATGTGTTCTTTTCCTACAAACTCTGCTTCTTTCTTGCTACAATTATTAGTGCATTCCTGGAATGATTGACATGTATGTAAATCAGAATAAAGGGATCTGACCTGAACTGTTCACTAAGTTTAAAAGAAAAAGCTGCTGCACAGTAATGGAAGAGCCCTTAGCCAGCTGACTGAGGGAGAAACCTTCTCCCCAGTAACTGAGCGTTAGGGTTGGGAGCCTGAAGTCACTGTCACGCAGAGGATCTGGGAGCACACAGAGCATAAGTCCTTTCTCATAAATCAGTCTTAACTGTAATGCCTTAACTGTAATGGAATCTGCAGCTTTTTGAGACCAGCACTGCTCCTCAGAGCAGGATTAGGAACAGTGCCTGACTCCTTTGGTGTGGAAGCAAACCTGGTTCTACTTCCCAGGTAGAACTCAAGGAGATTGAAGGGGGTCCTGGAATCATAATAGAAAAATCACTAGTTCACAGTGACAAAAGCCAATTTGATGGAGGAAATTCAGATTGAAGAAAAGGCAATAAACAGAAAAATTAAGCTTCTACTTCTCAACATGTCTTTTTAGGATGAGATTAAAAGGCAGAGTTTAAAAAGACAGAGATGAAAGTGAGTAGTGAAAATGTTACTTTGGTTGTTGGTTTTCTGGTTTTTTTTTTGTTGTTTTGTTTTTGTTTTTGTTTTTTTTACTTTTCTAACAGCTACAGTTTTTGAGTTCTTTTTCTGAAAGTTGCCATGAATGTGGCACTAGTTTTTAATACAGTTAAAGGTCAGATCCTGGAAAACAACAAAAATACTCTCCTCTATTCACCAGTCCTCTTAAAGAGACAACTTTATCCCTAAAGCATCTGCTTTATGGCTATTTAACATCTAGCTCATTTTGAAAACCACTAGCAAGGTAGAACCAATTTACACTGTCATCACAGTAAAACCCACTGTTTTTCTTTATTTGTAACCTTTTCTATGATACTAATATTGCAATGTTACATCTTGTTTACACTGACCAGCATCCTGATAACCAACTGCAAAGACTTGATGTGGTAACAACAATAGTTGAAACAGTCCCAGATGTCCTTTTGCAATACATTGGCACTATAAAGTGAGGTGTGTGTCAGCTGTATTTGGCAAAGGGATGATTTCTCACTTCCTCTTCTATTCAAGTAAACCTTTAAATGACAAACAAACCTCCCCTTCAGTATGGAACTGAAATGTACTACAGAATGATTCACACCAAATAAGTAAATGCTTTCCAATTGCAATCATTCCCTATTGAGATGAAGTGGTGTTATGCTGTTTTAATCTCATCAGTTCCAGAAGGCACGCACAAATACAAAGAAGTTATTTTAACACTTTAGGAGGGGGAACTGCAGCTTGCACAGAGCATCCAGCCAAAGGAACAGGAATAATTTTACGACGACTGAGCTCAAATCTATGCCAGTTTACAACTTCGACTATAATTAATTTAATTTCTCCACTTCGTTCCTGAAAAATTAACCCGGCATGATAACCCTCATGCATTTCACCTATCTGCAGTTTCCATATTATTTGCCACTGAAGAACTCAAAGCACTTATAACCCTTTTCCCGTTTTATCTGATTGCCACTCGCACTCCTACCCATCCTTCACAAGGAGATTCAACCTTCACTCCCATCTGCAGCACCAATGCACCTTAAAGGGTATCACTGAACACATGCAACAAAACTTGAAATGGTCATTTTGAGAACAGATGCATGCATAGGAATACTCCCCCCTTAACGCCGAAACACAACCACCTCTTTGGAGAGCAGCATAAGTAATATGACAGCTTGTAGCAACACTAAATAATCATCTACTTAGCCTAGAGCAAAAATTGAAGCAGTGGGAATGTAGAACGTTTGAATCAGCATTTGTTGGGAAAACATTTCTCTTGTGATATAGAAACCTTATTGAGTGCAAACATCCAGCACTTTGATAGTACTGTATTTAAAGCTGGTAAATTCAGCAAAAATTACGTCAACACTCTGATTACGACACAGATTTTAACACCTGGAGTGAGCTGGCCACATGAGAATGACCGTTGTTCCTGCTGATAGTACCTGTGCACTTCTGGGAAGATTTCTTCTCATAAACACCAGACTACTTCTCTGTGAAAATTTTTCATGTATACAACAGGAAGCTCCAGTCCTGCAAAATATATAGATGTGTATTCTGATGAGATTGGTAGTCTCAGACAGTGCAACAGTCATGACACTAATTTGTCACATACAGCTTCTGTGTTCTGCCAGAATGGATCTCTCTTGCTTTAGACTCAGATGTATAGTGAAAACTGTTTGTTTGAGGTCTGAATTTGTTCTTTCCTTTCGTTGTTTAATATTCCTGGAGAGGTGAGGTCTGATATTCCTGTTCATGTGGAATAGCATCTAATTTCCCAGAATGTCCTATCGATTTGAATGGAATCATTTGTATTAGACACATCACACGGGTGTTAACAGTTAGCATTTCTGAGCTTTATCTGTGCTGGTTTGGGTCTGGGATCTATGGAAAGGCTCTCCTTAGTAAAGAGAAACAAATAAAAAAATCTCTATTTTCCCAGTGGTGCTAATTACTGATGCAGACTTGCTGTCAGATTGCCACTACACTGCGGAAAGCTACACAAATCCAAAGCCCACATATAATGGAAATTTAACAATTTAGCAAGCAGAATGTAGAATTCATATAGCTGAGAACAGACAGTAGGCACCAAAAAAGGGAAATACCTTTTCAGTTTGAGGAGGTTTTTTTAATATAATTTACGAAATTTAAGCACATTGTCTTGAAATATTATTCATATATACTGCCAGATTATCTGAATTCAGTTCTACCACCATAGCAGCATTCTGCTTGGAAAAAATACATGTTAAACCTTTGTAATTAGCTAAGCTGTTACTAGTTTTTAATTGGAAAACTGCAAAGAATTAATTGCAATTCTAAAATTTCAGATCAGACTGCTTAAACTTATTTAACTGCTTGAACTTTAATTCTGTAACTAAAAAAATATATATGTATAAAATTAGCAGTGTTGAAAAGTCTAAACAGATCAGTTTTCATAATAGCCAGTTGTTCACTAGTATATATGCTCCAATTCTCTACTAGGAAGCAGCAGATGAATTCTTGCAATTCTCTTTGTAATTCTGATCCAAGTCCTTCTGAAGCCATGGAAAGATTTATATTGAGACAGCTTATTAGGACTTCATTTTACATGTTTTTGTCTCACTGAGATGAGTGCTTATTTCATCTTGTTATTTCAGGGCTTCCAATCTCAACTCTACAGGCTGTAAAGAGGTTTGTGTTGTGTTTTTTTTTTCTTGAGACGGAGATAGTATATTAAAAGATAGTGCTATTGGATGGCAACAGACATTTGTTACTCGTCCCTGGCAAGATTCCAAACTGTATCAATTCTAAGAATATACTTTTCATAAATTTTGAGATAACAAATCGTACTGACCACAAAAAATGTCCTTAGGTGACACCAAGAACGAAGGAGAGTCGCTTTTGACAGGCAATTCTTGCTCTTGCAGGTGTGCTCTCACAAGGCTGGAAGAGTCTTTATTTTTGGGGGTTTCCATGGTAATGTTGGCAGTCCTAAATGGAAACAAAAATATTTTAAAAGAGATGTTTAAAAAAAAAAAAAAAAGCATGATTCAAATGTGACTGAAGTTTGTATTCTTCTAAGAGTAGAAAGCAGAAATGTTGTTGTATATGGTTTTAAAAATTCTATCTAAATTAAATCCAAAGACGAATTCAGGCACATTTTTACAAACTGTTGTGGGTTTGGCATCATAAAAAACACTTTAAGGAAGGCCTTTTAAGAAGCGGCAAACACAAAAGCGACCCCTTTCATGTTTTGTTTTGAAATGGGCAGCTGTTTTCTACAACTTGAATTTCCATACAATCAAAATAATCTTTGAAAGGGTGAAAATGGTTGCTGCCAGAGGTACCTAACGCAAAAAATCTAAGCGGGTTTCATTTAGTTTCGGCATAGCCCTTGAACATTTCGAATGCTTAAAATGAAACGTACGCCGCCGTCTTAAAAAAAAAAATAAAATAAGTCTGCAGCGCCGAAGAGAGATTCTTAAATTTACTTTTTCTCTCCTGAAAATTAAATCCTGTTAAGAACTGCTCCAGCCGGCGCTCCCTGCCGTGCCTTGCCGGCCTCCAGCGAGGGAGGGCACAGGCCCCTGCACTGCGGCCATGGGTACGTGTGTCAGGAGAAAGGCTCTAAATGGCCTCTGGAGCTATAACCAGGCCTCGGCCTGGGTCTGGTTTGCACAGTCCCCTCCAGAGCAAGAGCTAAACCGGCTTACGGCGATGATGTAAATGTGAGGGCAGCCCTGGCACCGTGAAGGTGACACAGATCCCCAGAGACCTCACGAAAAGACGAGGGGAAGCCACCGCCTTTCTTCTGTCTCACGAGGCTGGGCAGAAGGCCCGAGGTAGGAAGATGTCGCGTGTGCCTTTCGCTTCGCTTGCTTTTGCCTCGGCTGGCAGGTGAGCAGTCTGGTGGCCCGTGCTCAGGCAGCGTCAGGGACCTGCTGGCAGTGCTATTTATACACCGGGGTTGAAAAATAGCACTTGAAAGTGCCTCTCTTATAAGGTTCTGGATGGAAAAAAAAAAAAAAAACAACCAAACAACAACCACACAACAATTCCGCATCAGAAAACTTCCAAAAATTGCTTTCCTCGGTGTAGAAGCCGGATATATATTTGTTGAATCAGGCTCTTAATTCGGTAGGGTACAAAGGACTTTCTGCCCCTGCCATCCTTCCTGCTCAACAACAGCGGTGTGTCCCCCCTCCGCCTTCTGCTAACTCTGCCAAAATTTGATGTGGGATTTTTTGTTGTCCTTATTTATTTCCACAAAGATACTGTAGCAATCAGTAACTGATCCCCTTACTCACCAGCCCCCACCGCCTCCCTTTTAATTTTTTTTTTTTTTTTTTTTTTTTTTTTTTTTTTTTTCCTGCTTGCTTGGGCTGGTCTTTTCATTAAAACAAGTTCTTCAAATGACCCCAAATCATTTGCCCTTCCTATCCATTCTTGGGTATGCCAAAACTGTTGGTTCACAACAGGAAACCAATAGCTTGTGCTATCAGGAGACATTTCCTTCACAGCACAAAACGTCTGAATAATAATTTCAAGCAAGGCTTCACCCATTTCCTGTGAAAGGAGGGAAGTTTGCCTATCCCAGTCCCTCAGAGCTCTTTGTTTCCATCCCTTTGTGATGTCATGCTTTCTGCACAGGGAAGATGGATCATTTTCCCTTAACAGCACTAAATTCAAGATCCTGTGTTAAGTTTTGATACTGCTCTTCAGCAAGGAAACATGTAACATTTACAAATAATAAAAAGTTATGCTCTAGTTTATACTTGTGGTGTCTCTTTCAAAAAATAAACTCAACTTTTGGTGTCTGGAAAATAACTGTAATGAAAACATGAAGGCTGAAGACAGTCTGGTTTATTAAATGTTTGACTTGCAGGCTATTTAGCACTCCAGCTCTAACTCCCACCAGATAGGACAGCCCACCTGGTATCAGCTCTTGCTGAGCACCAGAATGTCCCAGACTGAAACGTCCGTTATGTCACTCCATTTTACTGGAATACTGCAGATGGATTAACTGTCTCAGGCACTGATTCAACACATCAATTAAGCACATGCTTAACTTCCTCCCTATATAGCAAAACATTAATTTAAGCAAATACTGAAGAGTGACTGACTTTTTATAGTGATATGCTACATCAAAGCCTTAATATAATGGCAATGATAAATTGTTAAAAGGAATTATCAAGCAATAGACGTTATCTCTTCAGTGCTGGAACATTTAGGGATATTTAGGATGCATAATTTTAGGCAAAAAACTTGTTAAAATATCCTTTATCCAAACAAAGTAGGCATAGAAATTGCTACGTATGAGCTACTTTTTTCCATTAAACCCTACTGTGGTGTTTCTTAACCTATTTCTGTTAAATGATGCAACCTGGCATCGGGATATGTGTTTTATTTAATTTTCTACAGGGTTTTTTTTAACATGTTCAATAAGGGCTTGTGAATGTGATTTTTTTTTTTTTCCACCACCTGTTGCAGGAACCAAGAAAGCTTAAAAGCAGAATTTGTCAAAGATTTGACGACCTTAAAAATAGCTCTTGTCACAATTGTTATTACAGTGTAGTCTTAACTACATCATTTACCGTCACACAAAAACCATAATAAACTCTCCATTATTCAGAAGACAATAAAATTTGCATTACATTTGTGTCTGCTGTGTGTTTGTCATTTGAAGTGTTCAAGCCAACATGAAATACTACATCTCTTATTCTAATTCGCTCATTCCAATCAAGAGGCCCAGCAGAGTCAACTTAACCATTCTCTTCCCTCCTTTAACGGGCATCGCATGCATTTCCTACCATCTGCCTCCTCAGCTGGGATGCTACAGGCAGTAGGCACCTTTCTTCACACAGATTCTAGTCATGTTTGTGTGAGCTAAATAAACCATTTTAACACCTCTCCACAAGCAGCTGTGTTTAAGAACAGCAGCTCTGTGTTTCAATGTCTCTTGCTTGAAAGAGAGAAATGTGTTTTTTCTTGCTGAAGGTTGGCCAGGACCTTTGCATTTCATGTTTTCCAGTCCATTTCCAGAAGTATATTTGTCAGTTATGGACCCAAGCAGCAGACTCTCTGCACTAGGCTGATTTCACCCACCCTTACCACCTTCAGTCCTCAATTTCCCCATTAGTGACTGTAAGATGTGAGACAATGTCAGTCTCTATATTTGTTTCAGAGGAACTGTAAAAATCAATTTTGTTTCACTTCAGTTGGGGCTGAGGAGAGCATTTCCCCCTCAGTGTCTTTCACAGATCAGAAAACTGTTTCTGAAGAAAAAAAATCTGTAAAATATAGTTCAGCCCTTTTTCTAATTGTTCAACCTTAAACTGGGACATCTTGTTGAAAACCTTCTTTGAAGGTGATAACCCTGAGGCTGTTGTTGCATCTTGCTTTTCTTTTTTTCCCTTCCCAATTTTGAATCCCCTTTCATCAGGGCATTTGAGTATGACTGTTACATTTAATTGTGTAGCAGAACCCCAACTGGTTGTTCATTCAATGGTTTGTAAGGCCCAACCTGGAAACCTTTATTTCATTCTGCCCACCTGTCTCTGAAGCAGGATTAAGGTGAGTGAGCTGGAGGATGTTCTGAGAAAAGCAGTGCCAACAACTGATGCCCAAAGAAATCAGCCACTTTAAAACTGGACATGCTGAATATGCCTAGTTGTGCTTAATGGGAAGAAAAGCCAATGACAGTGCAATTCTACTGGCTATTAGAGAAATACAAAGGCCAAAATACGAACTTGCATATTTAAGTAAAAAAAAAAAAAAAAAAAAAAGCCAGGCCAATCTTCAGAGAAAGCTTCCTGTCAATCCCGTGTTTTAATATCACAGATCTTTTATAGCAACTGTGGGAACAAAATGTCCTTTTCAGCTTGTAAAACTACATTTGCAAAGTACTCTGAAAAGGTCTGTGGGCAATACCACAAACTGGCAAGGAATGATATCTAAGTCCCCTTCTTCCTATTATTAACTTGTATAATACTGGATAAACTTCAGCAAAGTGCACTAAAAATGCCAGAATGGGTGTTTGTGCAGAGTATTTATATTTTGCTATGGAACAGATCACAGAACTCTGCCCATCTGTCAGAACACACAAGTAAATCATGCATAAACCTAACTCTCTAGTTCGGTGAGCTGAGACTCAGAAAAATTAGCAAACTTGATAAAGGCCGCACAGGAATGAAGGAGAAAGACGAGGCTAATGCAGCACAGTCTGTTAGCCATTACAGAGGCCGTAACTGCACGTACCAACGTGTGTGACATACGACACAGTGCTAGGGTGCAGGAGGGTCTAGACTTCTCTGTATGATACATATCACAATAGGCAGGGAAGTCTAGTGTCCTCACTGCAGCAGCGGGGATGCTCTGGTATGGCTGGAGGGGAAGGGAGGAGGGAGGTGGTACAGAACAACCCCCAAGACCAGGCAGTGCCAGTAGCTGAGGAAGGATCAAATGTCCCACTAAACTCACAGGGGCACAGAAGGAGCAAATAGCTGACATTTTTAACACTGGAGTTTTCAGGCAAGTAAAATCATAATTTTATCAGAATAGTGATATAAACATTGTATCGTAGATAACTCTTGGCTTAAGGTCCTGTTAGACAACAGAGCAATCTCGGAAACTAGACACCTTCATAATCCTATGCCCCTTAAATACATTAAATCCCGCTAACACCTTTCATGCCAACATTTTTTCTGCATAGTGCTCAGGATCTCATTATGTTTAACATTTTATTTCCACTATTGAATTTTCTTTTCCTTGTTTTGCTCATTCACAGCGCATACTGGCCAACCTACAAAAATGTAATTTGAATGTTTTAAACTAGACTAATATATTTTGACTGTATCCTTGCTGACACAGAGTACTGTAACGCAGCCAGCTGTTCATTGTTACTATGTTAAATAAAGTAGAACTCCCTTGTGATATTCTATACACTAACAAATGATGTAATGAAATTCTGGTCGTGTGAAAATTCTATCATTACACCACTCAGCATCCCCATGAGCAGTTGGAGGCTAAGACACTTGCCTAAAAAGCCCTGTTAACACATTGTCCTTACAATTCAGAACTGCAATTGGTTTAACCTGACGTGCTGCTCATTTTCTGTGTCCTGCATGCTCCCGTAGTACAGGTACGCTTTTCTTTTCTCTGTATTGGTGAAAAGGTGCACAAGACATAGACTGAAGACTTTGCTCTGTTAACATGATATATATACATCTGTACATAGAGGGTGTGGAGAGCTGACTACAAGAAACACGATCTACAGGTGACAGGTAGGACTGCTCAGGGAGGAAAAAATAGAGACAGGGAGAGAAAGCCATGCATAGAGAGAAGGAAGGTGTATCCTCCAAAAGAACTTGGTGAAGCCAATTTAACAAGTTTCTACTCTCTTTCTTCCCCCATCACCACCTGTGTAGCTGTTGTATCATGTCAGTGATTCAGTTTCTAACACAAGCCCACGCACAAGTTGTAGGATCACAACTAAAGAAACGGAGAAATGCAGAGTGGGAGTGAAACCAAAAGCAGACTGTTTAAGTCTGCATCAACACTGAAACCAGTTTCTCATAGAGCTGTACCTGAAAGTGTGAAAAGAAAAGAAGCAGGGAGAGAAATGAAAGAAAAAAAAAGGTGAGTGAACTTTACCTTAAACACTGTCTGACTACAAACAGAAATTTGACCTTGACTTAGGTGGCACCTTATGGGTCACCTTTGCAACTTACTACCACATGCACCATGGTGGCAAGAGGTACAACGCAAATGGACTGGGGAAATCTGGGAGCAGCGAGTGGCCCGTGTGTCCCCACTACACTTGAGGAAGCAGGTAAGGAGATAAGAGCAAGCACTGTTTTTAGATGGAGAATTTTCAGGCGAGAGAAACCAAATCAAAAAAAAGCAAACTAAAGTAAAACTTTTAGATTTTACAGATGTGTGCCCGGTTCTTCAACGGAAAATTTACACATGTGGGGTCCCATCCATCCAGTCACGTGCTGCATAGGAGACTTGGCTGTGGAACTGAGACTCTTAAACAAGCCAATGGGCTATGGAAATTGGGCACTACAATGCAACTGGAGCTGAATTCAGTGGGAGATGTAAAAAAAAAAACAAACCAGTCTTGTGAATTTTGTACTTCTGTGAGGTTTGAAACATTTATCTCTTGCCCTCTTTAGACTCTGTACGACACATGATTGCTGGAGAGCAGATGCTGCCTGGAAAGTGGTAAGGCAGAAAGGAGAAAGTTCTGGGTTAGTAGGGTACCTGGGGAGAAGAGGACCAAGAGCAGCCATTCCCGGTAAATGTTGGGGCTTCCTCTGTGATGCTGGGCTTTTTGGGCTTTCAGAATAGGACCTCTAGAGCAAGAACGTGAGCACTGCACCATACCTGACTGTAGGAGATTAGTCTCTTTCATCAGAAACTGAGTCACTGGGAGGTCCCCAACTCTTCCACTGCACGACCATAGTTCAGCACTGCTAGAAATGTTGAGGGCTGATCTCTCCGGTGGGAAGAACGTGAGTTTGTCTCCTGTCAAAATGAAAGGCAACAATTAGCTGAAGCATCTGCAGAAACTGAAGTTAGGAGAAACCCTAAGAATGCATGAGAACAGCAAAGCTTTGTGCTCCACAAGGCAGAACTGTTTGAGAGTTAGCCCCATTACTCTGAACAAGGCGGCAGGACGGTACTGCCCAGAGCATGGCCACGCAGACATACCAGCACATGACAATTAGCCTTATGCAAAGCACCACTGACACAGCTGCACTGCTTCTGGCTCTGGAAAAAGCTTCCTTGTAGCAGAACAGGTATGCAGTGCAGACATACCCCGGGAGCCACGATAAACAGGTTAAAGCAGCCTGGATGCATCTCAGAGGGAACTGAGACGACGTTTCTTTCCATGATTCATAAAAGACAGGAAGAAACAATAAGTCTGCAGACACCAGTCCCACGTAAGCTTTGCCTCATTAAGGCTTTCAGAAGAGGGATAAACTCTCATTTGTGCTTAAGCCTTGCTATGCTGTTTGTCTAGGTGCTTATCTGTTCTCCTAGAGGATTCACTCCAGAAAATATCAGTGGGCTTTCACTAGGAAGGATGGGGAGGAGGAAGAACACCATATGGCATTTCCCAAGTGTGTTCATATCACATACCTTTTACATGTTTACATTTCTTGACCATGGTCTGAGCCCAACCTCAGGCTAACCTTGAACCTTGCAAACTAAACACAGTCCTGCTAGTGCAGCTGGAACAGGTGGGAGAGTTAGATAACAGAAAAAGCTCAATCTACAGTGTCTTAAGAAAGAAAAAATTACTTCTCAAAATCTATGCTGTTAGAGCTACCCTTTTTGCTGCACTGACAACATTTTATTCTGAAAGTGGCAGTGAAGTATGTTCACCACCACACACATCATGAAGCTGAATGCAAAAATCTCAAGTTGTATCTCCCAAATAGCGTACAGAATGATGATACCTTAAGGACAGACTGCTGACTCACGCACCCTTGCTTCCAGATGAGCAACAGCCTTGGGGAACTGTGGAGTAGAAAAGCCATTATACAGATCTGTTCCTACTCCATAATCTGCCTGGAGAAAATAAATAGATATTCCCTTCCTGTACCCTGGATGGCATCTGCTGTGAGCAGTGCTAAAGCTGTCCAGCTCCCACAGAGACACGTATACGCTTGAGCTCCCAGGAGAGCTGCTGACCCAATTGTAGCACCTGGGGGAATATTGTGCTAGAATTCCCATGAGCAGATATGACTGTGATCCAGAATCTGAGCCTTCTGAAGCAGTTTTACTTCTTCAAGATAATTAGCAGTGTAAATAAAATGGCCAGAACCATTTTGCATGAAAGACCAATAAAACAATTCTTAATTCTTAGCGTGGCCTCTAAGATTGTTTAATCATAAAATATATGTTATATATAATCTTCATTTTCACTTCATTTTTAAACAAACAGAACTTCCCTTCCCACTCCCCCTGGAAGACAAATAATATTTTATGAAGTATTTTGGCAGAAGACACCGATTACTGCATTTATTGGTGACATCATAATGAATGAAAGTAAAAGGGAAAAAAAAATAAAGCTATTAGAAAGAGGTCAAATTCCAGACATTTCTCCGAAGTAAGGTTCAATTTTGAAGTAATTTTTCAAAAGAGGTTTTACATTTACAAAATGTAATGAGCTTAATTTGAACCTGAATGAGATAATTATTGGTTTGATACCCTGCAAAGGTATTGCTTCCCTGGGTGTAATAATGTTATTTATCATCTTTCTTCTGCTACTCTGTCAAAAGAATCATTTCAGTTTCAGAGAGACTCTCTGACTTCCAGAGCTTCCAGCTTGTGCTGCTCCATTGTCTTAACATTGGAAAAAAACACCTCCGGAAGGATCACAACAATCTTGAGTTGGTAAGGGTGGAAAATAGGATGCTGCTTGCTGAACACTGCCCGTTCAGAATTGCTGTGCTTTGGCTGGGAGTCCTTCCTGAGAACTGAGCATGAATTACACCTCATCTAAGTTTTCGGTTGTTTCATTTGTTCTTTGGGTTTGTTTTTTTTTTGGTTTTTTGGGTTTTTTTTCTGTGGCCTTTCTGGCATCATTTATGGATTAACTTCCAGGAGGTGTTGAGTTTCAATATTTCCAAAATGTGAAGGTTTTGCTTTGTGGCTTTGAAGCACTTATAAATTCTACAAGGCAGAAAAAGTGAAAATAATGGCTTGCCTTCCACCTCTAGGCCACTGAGTTGAATCATGCTACCTTGTAAGAATTTTGCACTGGCATACTTTGAGTGGTGCTTACAGTTTCAATATATTTCCTAACTTAGAGATGTCAACATCCAAACTCCTTTCCTGTCTAGCCCTACACAGCCAAAGCCCTTTGGCAGAACTTAAAAGAGTGAGAATTGAGAGGGGCAGCGGCCCTAACACAGATGTTTACTATTCAATTAATCAACTCTGCCTTGGTGTTAAGCACTTGCACATTAAACTCAGAGAGCAGAAACATACAGGAGGGCGGCAATGTAACAGAAAAAAATTCACACATACAAAAAAATGCCTTTCAATATTAATTGGAAGGAAAAAAGGAAAATTTCAATCCAAAATCCATGTGCTCTGCCCACAACTCAAAACTGACAAACCCACCCTGAAGTATTGCTGGTTTCCCTCTCGGCACTGAAAACCAACACATACATAGGCATTCCCATGGGGCGAGTCCTGTGAAGACCCAGGGTAAACAGTCCTCCTACCCTCCACTCGTTTCACACAGCTCAGCGTATGCTCCTTATCACAAGGCTTCACCACTACTCCATTTCCCCCTTTCCCATTCCTGCCCAACACACAGGGCCCTGTGACCGCTCCTGAACTAGCCAACACCCCCTTCCACCCACGTCTTTTCAGAGGTCTGGTGAGACACATGGAGGAACTGCTTTACTGTTGGGTATTTTACTGTCTGGACCACAGTGTTTCAAGCTGCTGCTTCTTAAACTGTGAGAAAATAGCTAATGTAATACAATGGCTATCTCCACCCTAGAGCCTGTGGTTTTCCAAAACCACAAACTGACTACATGGCAGCCAAGTTCCCTACTTTTTAAATATATATACACATATACATATATATTTATAAATTTATATGTGCATTACAGTATATTCACACTTAAATGGATAATGAATGAATCTACTGATTGCGACATACATAGATGTTGGTGTAGGCTAGTTTGGATTCAGGCTACAGAACTCCAATAACTTTGTTGCAAGGAAAAACCATCAGAAAAGATCTCTGTTACATAGTTAAATGCACTTATGAAACTCTGCCTAACCAATGACTTTATCCATTGGCTTGAAAGTACAGCTGCAAGCTGTACAAAGGAAATGACGATGGGATATAAAGGACTAGGGAATATTCAATATTTACTAAACAAAGATCTTAGTTTGAGCATGTGTCCAGTCATACCATAAGTATTTGACAGAAACAGCTCACTGTGCTTGGACAGTTCAGAGAGTCATTGCTGTCATTTTGCAGTGTGCATGCAATATATCACCTTGCATTAAGGTACTTGCAATAGTCAATTTTTTCCGCCAGTCTTAAATTATGAATTCAAGCTAGAAAGGCTCTAGCAAGTCAAAGGCATTGATAAATACTGGAGCAAATCCTGAAACCCTGAAAGACCCATGAGCATTTTGAGTAGTTCATTTCACACTGTAGTTGTTCAAAGGAGCGTTTCCAAGCTCAGACCTGAACTCATGTTTAAAACCCACCAACTTGCTGAAAGGGATTTTACAACTTCATCTGACTTTTGGGGTGACTAGAGAGCAGTTCAAGAACATTTTTAATATTACCAGATGAGAGTTGTTCCTCTAACACAATATGTTATGTCTTCCTGGGAACTGAAGAAAAGGGCCATTGTAAAACGTAATTATTTATGAACTGTGTTATAGTGTTTGCCAGATGACAGTGTCAAGGGGCCCCGTGTCTAATCAGGCTGCACAGAGTTTAGGCACTGTAGTGACAGACTGCCACCTTTTAGGAACTTTTAGTCTGGAGAGACAACTGAGGCAAAAGGTCAGAGATTATCAGCCCCATGTTGGAGACAGCTAAAAGTGATTAATTTACTTGCCCAGCTTCAGAGAGCGAAACCTGTGGTAGAGCAGGAAACTAAGGTCAGTTCTCCTGAGGCCCGTGACTGTACCCCTGATGTACTGTGACTCAGCCAACTCATGGCTGATTAACGATAGTTTAGATTTCAGTTATCAGAGAATACCCATCTCATCTCCTCTCCTCTTTGCATTAAGTTTCTAGGATCATTTAATTGGCCACATTTTACTGGCACTCTTGTTTGCAGAAATTAATTTTGAGGCCCAGATATCTAAGTATCTGCAGACATCTTGGTTCACAGAAGATGATAAAAGACATAAGAGAAGATCTGTATTTCCATGCCACTCAGATGAGTCAGTCGCAAGCAAGCAGCAGTCCCAGTTCTGGTAGGATACATTTGAAAAGACCTTTGATTTGCTGTGATCACTTTGCAGTTAGTCCTTGACAAGAACAAGAGCTATAGTCTTAAATTATTTGCTAACATCTTCAAAGTAGACTCGATTGGAAGGGGGAGCTCCGGTGGCCCCACATTTATTGCTTCTACTTGCAGGTTTTCTGCTCTTATTTTTTTGGGATCCTCTGTCATCACTGTATTTCCTGAGCTTTCCCATCACTGACTTACTTTTCTGTTCAGATGTGTCCCTACTTCTTTTCTCAGGTGCTGCTTATGCAGCAATTTGAACAAACTGATAAGCAAACATTTGTTGGATCAGTGTAAAAAAAAAAAAGGTTTGCTTGATTCCTAGTTGATAACATGGGTACCAGATTGAAAAGAACCACAGAGATAAAAAAATAGTTGTAAGTCAAGCTTTCTGCCCCTTTTGAAAATCTTTGAAATGCAGCTTGTTCTCCTTTTACCTCCATAGTTCAGCTAATATTGAACTCTGAAACAGGTCTCTTAGCCTGGCTCCTCTCTAAGATAGCAATAGGTTTTATACAC